TAATTTAAATGGTGTATAAGAGGAAAATCTTATAATGAAAAAAGAAACTTTTTATTGAGAAAAAAAAAACCAGATTTTACATCTATAGACGTAAGTTGATTTAATATGCTGAAGCATTATTAATGGTATAGGCCTATACCTATTAAGTATTTCAACAAATATCTCATTAATCCCACTATCGCAAATAGGCCTATTGAAGTATTATTGAAGTATTATTAATTCTTTATTAAAGCATTATTCGAGCACCTTCATTATTATTATTATTATTATTTTATGTATTATTTACCAACCATACTAACATTGAAAACATTAATTATGTGGATAAAATTATCATAGAAAATAAAGATTCTTTTTTAAAACAGCAGAATAAAATAGATAACACCTTTATTTAAAAAAAAACAGGTTTTGCATAGACGAAAGTTGATTTAATATATGCTGATTCATCTCATTAATTAAACAATTTTATTCATTTCGAGCACTGTTATTATTATATTATTAATTATTATTTTAAATGTTTGTTGTTTTATTTTTTTGTTTTATGTATGGGCCTAGATATAGGCTATGTATATATTTAATAATTAGAAATAATTATAATTTAATTGTAAAACATATATAATATAATGTTAACAATATTATAGGCTAGTCTAGACCTAACCAATTATTGATACCATAACCTATAGATAAAAACATCCATTTGATAATTAAACAGCAGCTTTTCGAGTGGCAGTGCCGATAGAAAACTGCAGTGTTTTGGCACTGCGGCAGTGCCGATAGAAAATCGGAGCTATTTTCGCACTGCGGCAATAATGCCGATAGAAAATAACAGCTTTTTTTCGCACTGTGGCAGTGCCGATAGAAAACAGCAGCTTTTTGGCACTGCGGCAGTGCCGATAGAAAACAGCAGCTTTTTTTCGCACTGCGGCAGTGCCGATAGCCTCAGCCGTCCCAAGAGTCAAATCGACTCGCGTTTCATAGTGTCACATAAGCGTTCAAACGCGATACATAACGTGATTTTTCTTTTCGGTCTCATGTTGGTGGACTTGCGCCCTCTTTGTTTTTGAGCGGCATGTAAATAGACTACAAAGTTGTTTTTGCCTTAGTTTTGTTATTATTGCCCTGTCAATTAGTCAGTGAATATGTCTTCAATCAATTTTGCGATGTTAGGGAATAAAACTAGGTAATTATATTCCTTCTTAAGTATTTCTGAATGTCGAATACTGATAGTTTAACTCCTAGGCCTAGGCTAGGACCAAAGGATAGAAAGTTTGGAAGGAAACAAGGACTGGGAGAGTTTACTGCTGTAGGTAGACCTAGAGTCAGGCTAAAGGCTAGGCTAGTAGGCGTCAGGCCTAGGCTTACTAACTAGCCTAACTACTAGGCCTAGCCAAGTACTTGTGCGTAGCTTCGCTATGCCTACATAAGTTAGCATCATTCTAGGATAGCTAAGTATCAACAAAGAGTTAATAATGACTTAGTAGGCTAGGCCTTGCCATTAATTAGGTCATATATGCTAGGCAGTGAGGTCAGGGGGAAGGGGAATTTTCCACCGCATCGGACAAGCCTGGACCCCGTCGTCCGACGCCCCAATGATGTCGTCTGATCGAAAATAAATTAATAATAATTTCCCATACTGTATAGTTGTTTAATTTGCGCAGATGCTATCTCAAAAACTGGCTGAAATTTGCAGGAAAAATCGCTAGGAAAATAGGTGCGCAGAATCGTAACTACTGCATAATATATTAGATAAGCTGTATTAAGATTAGGTCAAAGCCTAATTTTTGCTAAAATCCGTGTTTATTTAAATCGGCCCTTATTTTCCGTAATGCGCGGAATGATTTCTAGGCCTGATTTTTAGACCTTACTGTACAGTATGGCCTCCCCTTTTCCTAATCCTATTCTATACAGACAGTGAACCATTTATCATTTTCTTCAATCGTCTGCAAGCTATTTACCTCTTACAAAATTTACTTGTGAAGTTGCCCATAACATACTGTTAGAGGAATAAGTTTTTCCTCCATGATGATAACCTATTTTGACATTTCGTTTTTCATCAGATGGTTAGTTTTTAGAATTTTTATTCATAAAAACGGTGTAAAAAATAATATGTATGTTTTGATTTTGTTCAGTCAAAATAGAGAGAGTGTGCGGTGTCAGAAGTGCCTCGAGATGGGCCACTGGACCTATGAATGTACCGGTAAGCGCAAATACGTTCAACGAGAATCAAGGTCTCAACATTTACAGAAGAAGATTAAAAAGCTGACTTCCAAATCAAAAGAATCAACAAAGTATGTCACATGATTTCAGATAATTTCAGTTGTACTCAATCTAGGAACTTAATTCAAAACAAATGGTGCACTTTCTTGTAACACATAAGCTTAGCCATCAAGCCAACAATTATTTTTGACGGTCACTTTTACCATGGCAGCTTGGATGGCTTGGCTTAATCAGTTCGGCCTAGCCTAATTGGGCCTGGTCTACCTTTAGCAAATTCTTCTACAAGTCTATCAAATGTTACATTAAACTAAAGCTAAATCATATGTACGTTGTTTTCATACCAATATTCGGTGGGCATTCCCAGAAATGTAAGGCTTAACAAACACGTCGTGTTAAAAACATTTACACCCCGTTGGAAAATGGACGGTTCTGAGTCGCACACATCACATGCAAGTGGCTCTAGTTCTGCAAATACAATACTTGGGATTCGGTTTCCCTAGATATTGTTGGGGTTCGTCCTCTCTGGTTATAATTAATTCATGAAATATCGTACAGAAGATTTGTTGTTAACGTCACAAGTTAAATTTTATTATTCAATACCATAGGTCTAGGCCTATCTCTCGATTCAGAGAACCTAGAGTAGAACTTACACTAGACTAGACTAGACTTGGGCGAGAGATGAAGATACATCTGAATAGCCTAGAAACCTTTGAGTTACCGTAGCAGTGCGCACTCTATGTCTATAACTGAAATATCTTTGTGATAGCTAATTCAACACTATTCCTTTGAAGACAAAATCCAACATTTTAAACACTTTAAATGCCCTCTAAAGATCATAATTTTCTATTCTTTTTTCTTAAGTTTCGGAGAGGGCGTGGCTCAGGGCCTACTGGCTTCAATTTTGGACAACCTGTTTCGTTTTTCTTGCTAAACCCCTGGACATTTATCTCTCTGTTATTTTACCTCGCCTCTTGTGTAATACAAAAAATGTGATCAACTATTTTTTTTTTTTTTTTTTTGGTATAGGAAAGAAAAGAAGAAGTCAAAAAAAGGGTAAGTTTTTTCCTTTACAGTGTGCTCAATTAACACAATCAGTAACATTTGTTATATTTTTGATTAACAAACAACAGTAATCAAAATAATCTACAGGAGGTTGTTAATTATATTGTATTTGATTTGTTAATGTTGCTACCTGTATATCATGTATTAATTTTTTAGTTGAAATCATACAGTTAAAAAAAAATGTTATATTTAATATTTTAACTATTCAAAGGATTTAATAGAAAAGTTATATCTGTGCTAGGCATTTAGCCAAGAGATAGTTGCCCTGCTTCTTCTGCTGAAGACCCCGGTTCAAATCCGACCAGCGTTGAATTTCAATTTTAGTTAATTACTCTGCTCCTTGGAATAAACCTCTTATTAGCTTTAGACGTATAATGGACATCGGTACTCATGCCTCCTAGGACCCGGCGCTTATTAATTTCCATTGTATATATCTGGCTAGTGTGCACATTAAAGAATCCACTTTCAGAAGAGTAGGGAGTATGCTGTGGTTCATTTCTGCCCCTATCGTTGTAGAATGATGTGAACTGAGCGCTTCTCTATGGCTACTAAAATAGTCTTGGACCATGCCTATACGCAGTTCAGCACAACTGCAAGGTATGGGTTTTATTCTCTTACCATTATCTTTAACTCTTTGAAACTGAGGGGCTGGTATACCGGCCGCAATGTAAAAGTGTATATATACTGGTGGCCATGAGTTTTTGGTTATAAACATGCTTGTCACCTGACTCCCGTCTTTGACGTAATCCTTGAAATATGAATTCTGGCCATATGAATGGTTCTGATAATACCCAAATAGCGACGACTTTGATTCTGATGATGAGGAAAGTGTAGGCCTACCACCAGTGCCAGAATTGGCCTAGGCCTAGCGAATATGAAACTGCAGGTACTTCAGGTGTTGTTGCGCATGGATGAGGTAGGCCTAGGGTTGGTCAAGGTAGGGGCCAACGTAGTCCAAGTACAATATTGGCACTAAAATAAAACGAGTAAGACAACAATTTATATTTGCATCATTATTTATTCATAATTTATTTGTACAATATAATTACATATATTACATGATTATAACCTTGCTGGGTTCCCACAGCTGCGCATTTATGCGTGCACTGCTGTGTGGTCAGGGTAATGAGGGTTGTACCTACAGTAATGTGGCCTCAAGGTTCAAAGTGTTGAATACCAAATTCAAAATTTGATGATGGAAAAAGTTTGCCTGAAATAAATGCAACATACTGTATATACTCGCGTTTAAGACATGGCTTAATATAGCAAACTATAATCGAAAAACAGGAAGTTGTCGTCTTGTACATATATATTTTTGTATATATATACTTGTATATTTTTAAATCATTTTCGTTGTGTGTGGGGATCGTCCATAACACATAAATTTACTACTGCAATGAAACCAATAAATGTTATGAATGAGTGCAATTTGAAATATAGGAAATAAGATTTTTATGAACATTTTAAAATCTCAAAATCCTATTATTTTGAAGATTAACCTTGCATTTGACTCCGTTTTAGCCAACATGCAAAAATCATCTAAAATTGTTTCAAACTCTGGGATAGTCTTACGCAAGTAGATATACGATGTATCTAAATTTGGAATAATAGCAAAAATGCAATTTTTTTTTTTTAAATTGATTGTTTCCACAGATCTGATGACAGCTCGGGTAGTGATTCCTCTAGCAGTGACTCCAGGGGATCAGACAGTGAATCATCCAGTAGCATGTCCTCAAGTAACTCGTCAAGCTCCTCCAGTATGTCATCAAGCAGCAGCGATGAATCAGACAGCAGTAGCAGTAGCAGCAGTATGAGCAGCACAACTAGCGGTAGCACAAGTAGCAGTAGCGCCATCAGTGAAGACTCCATTCCTCCGCCAAAGAAGCAGAAATGGAGGAAAAAGACTACAAAACGAGTAAAGAAGTCAAAAAGATGAACGCAGCCTAATCGGTTTTGACCATTTCTCGGATTTCAACAGAACATTCTCGGCAAGTCTGCAAAGTATACATAAAATGTTATTGTAGAACAAATAAATGACAGCACCTATTAAAATATTGCTGAAGATTAATTAGTGAATTATTATTTAATAAACTTGAACTGGATTCATGCAACTTGTTGAATTTGAAATCTGTTGTATAACAGTCTGCCGAGGATATGTGCGATTAGGCCAAAAACATGTTTTGTATTGACCAAGCCAATGGACGAAAAATATATATTTTGTAAAATATATATTTTCAGAAGTGGAAACCCGAAATGCTTGTGTATGAATGCAATTTTAAAGCCTAAATTGCAGCACATTACACAACTGTAAATTTTAGCTCAATAGTTGTCATTTTTATTAGCTATGAGAGAAACCATAGCTTATTTTGCAAAGCTGGTGATAGTCACTGTGTGTTTGCTGAACTGTGAAGAGATACTGGTTGCGAAAACCAGCTTCGTTATTCTTCCTCGCCTATGTTCACATTGATTCACTGGATTTTTCTGTTTAAAGTGACCAGGTACGTGAGTTTGACCGATAAACAATGTGAAAAGTGAAACCACTTAAATTAGAGCAGTGCATTGCTTGGGGCGAAAACAAACCCATACAGTTGAACTTGCCTAAGTCGAATCCAAAATGCCATTGAAATATTTTTTTCTACTTAGATTAAATTCGACTTACAGATTGTCAATTAATGGAAAACACAACAATTTGGCGTGTAAAATGAGATCGACTTAGAAATTATTCAACTTAGGCACAGTCGACCTTGCAAGTTTAACTGTAATTAGCAGGGGCGGATCCAGAGATCTCCAAAGGGGGGGGGGGCCGAAATTTGGGCCGATCGCGACAGCAATGTCCTAGGGGTTCCGGGGGCATGCCCCCGCGAAATTTGTGTGTTCTAGATGCCCGAAAATAACATTTGAGGCATTGTGGGCTATCATTTTTTTCTTTTTCTTTCTTTTTTTCTTTTTTTTTTCTTTTTTTACCTCCCCTAAATCCGCCCCTGATTAGATAGGTACCAAAGTGCTGTACATGGGGACACGAAAGGTCCTTAATTCAGAGCCAGGCTCCAAAGGAAACAAATGTTTTGATATTTTGTAACAACTGATTTTATCTAAGACAAAAACCATATTGCCAGAAAAATTGGGAGCACCTAATGAGATACAACTTTTTGAATACTGTATTTAAATAACTGGGGGGAAAGGGGCATAAACCAGCTTTTTTCACCTTTTCCCCCAGTTATTTAAATATTCCAAGTTCTTCGTCAAATATGATTTTTGTGTCTTTGACAAATCAGTTGTACATCATATCAATTTTGTATTTTTCCTCCGGAGCCTGACTTCAACAGAAGTTGTTTAAAAACCTTAATTGGCTAACCTAAACACTGTATTTAACAGAAATAGCATAGTATACACAATGACATCATCAGTGGACATTTTGATTATTGCATCATCTGTTACTGTTTACTAGATTTTGAATTGATCTGTATAGCAAGTGGCATTGTTGTGATATGAATAAAACGTTATTTTACAAGTACGAAGAAAAAACAATGTTTTAAAATAAAGACTAGTGTTTTTTTTTGCCTACACATCTACCTATATTATGTTAATACATTGATTAACATATGAACCAAATAAGGAAAATGCACACAAAAATAAACTGCTGGGGGTTTCTTGAACTCATTGAGTATTCATAATATATACAAAGGGAATGAATGTAGCCAAAAAAAGCTAAAAATACTTTAAAAACATGTACGTCTGAGTAGTGGATAATGTTTATACATGCATAACATATTTACAGTCTGCATGGTTGGCCTAAATAATCGCTTATTCAGAAAATTTGTTTTATTATCTTTCAATTGGTATTATTAATTGTTGTATTACTCTTACAGAAAAAAAAATATATTTAACAATATTTCTGACACTAAAAAAATCTTAATTAAATTAATCAATCATCGGGGGGTGAATAGATTATTGGAATGATCAGTAATAATATTTTCAATGGTGATCCCATTTTAAATTCTAATGGTGAACGTCTACTTAACTTTCGGTTAGACTCAGACCTAAATATTGTTTACTGTTCCGTAAATACATTGGAAAATTAACGTGCAGACTGAGGGTGCTATTGTGATCTTCAAGTGGCTACGTCTCTTGAAATCAATTTCACGATTAGTTACAATTTTTACTGCTACTGATAGGGGCGGGTGGGGAGCTGGCTTTCCTCTTTTTGCAACAAATGCCTTCACTCAAAAAATAGCATCCTCTTCATTGTAATAAAATATTAATATGTTTGCAGGATCTGAGGAGAGGCGTTATACAGATCGTCGACTTTTTTCGGAAAGCGGTGGAGCATTGTAGCTTTACGACTATGAGTCGAAACCCAATTACAAACTTTACATGGTTAGACGCATTTGATCACAAGGTGTCGTCATTTATGAGGAAGGGGGAATAGACAAATACAGGGGGAAGGTAATGTTAGATTCCGGAGAACCTAATCCAAGGGAATGAGCTCTTGTGAATCTCATATAGCGTTTCGCACTGTATTAGAATGCAGACGTAAATGATGTGTGCGCAGAACTGTCATAAATATAATAAGAAATATTTACGACATTATATTAAAGCAGTGACGTAACATACACTGTCGTTTGTGGGACCTTAGCAACAATATCCAAGGGGCGGGGCTTGGCAGAAAAGTTCATAATGAAAGTCAAGAAGTGCCACACCGGAGACTACTGTTTCGTCATAGACATGGTCAGCTACTTCTGTAAACATTTTCACATGTCTTACTATAACTTGACTGACGTCAGTGGCGTAGAAAAATATTTTTCATTGGGGGGATGATTGGCGTGTTAGCCAGTGTCGTAACAGGCGTAGGGGGGGGGAACAAAAATTGCCCCTCCCCTGACGGTTTTTACCGGGCTGACCAAGCCGTCGTACCGGGCTGGGTAATAAGAGAAAAGAAAGAGGGGAGAGGGAGGGAAAGAGAATGAGAAGAGAAAAATAAAGACAAGAATAAAAAGGAAGATATCATGATGACCAGACTCACAACAC